GCCTCATTTGGAGACCTGCCCCTGGTCTTGTAGATACCTTCGGCACCCACCACCTAACGGACCACTCACAGCGGACGAGATCGCCCAAATCGCGGGTCAATGACACTGAAGAATGTGGGACGCTCCGAAGGACAAGCAGGTTCTGGACATCACGAGAGAAGGCAATTTAAACGTGCAGCGACAACCTACTGGCGCTTCAACTCTTCTTGACTGGCGTCGTGGAGCAGAGGGCCCCCAGAATTGCGGCGAAAGATGCAAGATGCCAGGAAGACCCCTCTGCAGCGTCGCTTTTTCCCGTAGCGCCTCGGCGTCGCTGGTCCTGTATCCTGATTGCAGGTGGATCAGTTAATTTCCATCCACCTTCTTGCTTGAGAACCACAGAAGCTCAACTGGTTCAGAGCCGCTCGAGGCGCTCCACGACTTTGCTAGCCAAATCCTGCACCTCCTCAAGAGCTGGCAAAACAGAATGATTTTTGCCTCCAAATGCCGTCGCCTCCGTTCCATCGGTAGAGCCAACGGCCATTGTGATCGCCCCAGGCCTGTCCCCGCGAACGCCAGGAGACATTACTACGAACGCCTTCTGGCGAGACTTTGTTAACGGGGAACCATCATTGGTGGCCTGTGCCTGCCGCCTTGGAAGCCAAGCACTCAGATCGACCCATGCAGCCAATCAAGCTTGGTATGGATGAGCGGAGACTTGGACCCTGAGAAAGACATAAGGGGATTACCGCATGCTGTTTTACCAGGGAGACTGGCCGGAGCAAGTCGGCAGATGCAAGTGCTGGTGAAGACCGCCCCAAGAGCGACATTGATCGACGACACCGTACACGGGCAAAAGGCGGCAAAAGCTCAGGGGCCTTGGGCATGGTTGTCAGGTTGTGAGACTTTCGATAGACGATGGCGCGCGCCAGTTTAATTCCCAGATGCTTCATTTGCATGACCGACGGAGCTCAGCAGAACGCTGCCAAGATCCGGGAGACCTATGTTCCGTCTACGATGTTGAGCGCAACTACCTTGGGATTGGCGGCTAGGAAAAACGCACTGCTCTTCTTCGAATCAAATTTCCCTGCGCAATGTTTCTTGCTCGCCACCGGAACGCGCCACAGTGGCTCACCGCATGGCTGGCGCTTGTTACACCTCTGCTTCAAGCAACTCGCCTTCCGTGACAGACAGCCAGGACAATCGCTGGTTCATCGTCTGATGTTCGCGCGTGTCAAATTGGGCCTCGTGCCCCATTGATCCAAGACGTGGATGTTCCATTCAGGAGAACGGCAGCCTCTTGCTGCGACATCTTCGCATGTTCACCTCAGTCAGGCATGAGTCTGGAAGCGCAAGATGGCTTCTACCCGTGTCAAGGCTCAAGGAACCTGGGATGAGTGACATTTCATGCATGTCGACTCAACGGCATGGCTCCAAATAAGCTCAGGTTACAGGTTACAGGGGAAGCCAACGGACATCAACGACGGGTCTTTGGGACGGGATTGCCTGTCAGCAAGGAAAAGCGGACCTCTGTGTCACGAACATATTCTCGACATCATTGACAAGCCAGTCCAGCTTAACGGGTGGCTGGCGGGACATGGCTCTCTCTACTGTGAGGTTTCAGCATCCCAGTTCGAAATATTACTCGACCTGCAGTCAGTCGACAATCCGCTCTGGGGGCAAGACATATCTCGAGGACGCAGTCGTATCAAAGATATGGGATCATTGCCCCTTCAACTGTAGCAGCAACAGGTTTCATGCCGCGAGACCATAAACAAAACCGGGATGACTGAAGAACAATAGCGGATTCGGTTGACGAGCCGACCACTCAAGTTATCTGGGTATCCAAATCGACTTGGGACGAAAACCGACCCAAGGAAGAGGGACTCTCGCCAGCTTTGCAACAGAAGTTGCATTTTGTCCATCTGCTGTGCATAGCAATTTCGGATCTTTTAGTTGTCGTCCAATGAGGTGGCGGCCTTTCTCATAAGCTACGGTGAAACACGACTTCACTCGCTCCCATGACCGCCCGTTGGTGTTCAGGCTGAAGTTCAGCCGGCGTCGCGGACGTGTTTCAGACGCGCCCTCAATTCACTCGGGACGTCCTCGTCGCAGATTTCTCGCTTGATGTTCAACGCGCTTCAACTAGAATAGGCGGGAACAAAGAGCACGGAGTTCCCCTTCACGTAAGGGGCAGTTGGCCCTTGTTCATGCGCGCGATCCCCCAACTTTCGGAAGCAGCGCTCTCAAGCAGGGAATCCTGTCGAGCGATGTTGTGGAGTTGAGATGACGGGTCTGTTTTTTCACACGGACTGCTGGTTCCGGCTCGCAGCTTCCGCCGGGGTGATGGATTGGCCGGGCTTGTTGGGCGGGAGGCATCCCCGAACCAGCACGTCGTTCTCGTTCAACTTTGAAGCTGTCATGGATTGTCAGCGTCACAGATTCTGTGTTGCCAGGCGGACGCTGGTTCTGGCGAATGTCCCGTGCTCATACTCGCAATGCGGATTCGCCCCATGGCGGATGGGGTTCGAGTGATGACCGAGGCGCTCTCAGCAAACGAGCATCGAAGCCATCCAGAAGAAGGAATTCCTGAGGGGGTCTCTGACTCGTATCCGACTGCATCAACTTCACTGTCGAGATTGCCCCACGAGCCGCGAAGCCTGGTGACGCATCTCGTCCAAACCATCTACTGATCTCTCAACAGACTGAAGGGAGTCCCGATCTTTTGGATGAGGCTGTATCGGTTCTATGAGGAAATCTGGCCCAAGCTGCTGGGCAAGTAAAATGGCCCCGTCTCAAGAAACAACTCATCAGCCCAAAGCATCCCACATCCACGTCGGCACCGGACGCCGTTCCGGGTTGGCGGTGCGATGTGGGGTTAACGGCCGGCACGCCATCCGAAGAGGCGAGATGGAGCCGGCGGACGGCGGGCGGGAGAAATGGGGCAGAGCTCGGCCTGTGAGCCCTTGGTCCGAAGTGCCGAAATGGTTGCAGTTGGACGACGTCGCAAGAGTTTGGATATTCCGCATTGGTTGCTGTCTGCAGCATTCGTTGGACCACGAGTCCTCCCTCTCCAGTATCGGCATGTTGGCAAACGGCTCCGAGCTGCCGTCTTGGGCAAATATTACCACATGCATTAGGAATCGGTGCGTATGGGTGATTCGGCCAGCGTCAAGTGACTTCACGGCCAAGTGATGGAGGCCACGCGTCGCGGCCCATCATCCGTCTTGTCTTCGGAGCCGCCGCTGCGGGTTGAGAGCGAGCCGGCGTCCGCGTGCGCCGACTCTGCCACGGATGTACGATGGCGGGTCCAGATCGAGCTCTGCCTCCATCTCTGTGGATTCACTCTCGTCTGCTATGGACTGCCTAAGTATTCCAGAAACCCAATCGGACGCACACACTCGCCGATGCGTTCACTTGTTCGAACGCCCAGCATCCGACGGGATGTGAACCAATCACCTCGGGTTCGCTGAGAAGTCGCAGCCATGCCAAGACCAATACAGGACAGCTTCAGAAACATTCCCTTCGTCTTCAAACAAAAAGGAAGCCCGATATGAGGCAAAACAATGGACACTCGGGGAATTGAACCCCGGACCTTTCACAAGGCGCATCACCTGGACATACCGGCGAAGATGCGAAGCGAAAATCATACCCCTAGACCAAGCGCCCGAATCGTATGCACAGCGAGGCCGAGAACGCGATGGAGAACCCACCGCGGCGGAGATCGTGGCGGGATTCTGGCGACGGCGATGGTTGGTTGGGTCCGACGGTGGGACCGCTCGTGTACCTCTGTCCTGTGGGTGAACAATAGAGCCAGTGCTCAGACTCGAAAGCGCCCCCATCTGAAGTCGCGATGGAATCACCGAGAAACCTCTCTTGAAGGCGAGGTGCTCGGGAGTGATCCAAGGATATCAGAAACGTTCGAGGCCCTGCTTGGCAGTTTTGGCAGTTCGTCTTGGCAACAAAAACAAACGGGAGCCACTTCGCTTGCCCCGGCCGCGATCACGGCATGGCAACTTCAGCAAACAATCAACAGGAAACGCGACACGGTAAGATCGATCTTGCCAAGGCTACAAAGATAGCCTCACCGACGTCGCAAGGGAACAAGAAGTCTAGACGCGCCGGGCTGGCTTTCATGTCTGTCACCGAGGAGGCGGGGTGAGGAGGGGGAGGGGGCATGTAACCGTGTCCAGGGGGCTCCTCCGTCTCAGGAGCCCAGAAAAGACCCTTAAAATAAGCATCAAAAAAAGAGGGAAAGCCTAAAATAGAGAGGGTGATGGCAGGTATCGCGACTTAGTCAGTTTCCCTGTCGTTGATCCTCGAGAGAGACGGTTGATCCTTTATCTCAAATCAAGTCCTATTCTGAGATGTTGGTTTCGCGGTGTGCGGGGCGACGAACGTGGGGGGAAGGGGATAAGGAGGCCGGGCAGGACGGTGTCAAGTCTTCGCGGAGAATAGACTTTTGCCTCGAAGCGCGGGACTGACAACGTTATATGCTATATGATGCTCGGTATCGCCAGAGTTGTGAGAAAACATGCCATGATTCCCAAATGCAGGTGCTGGTGGTAAGGTACTTGTCAGATCTCGTACACGTCCCTGCGAGGAGCGTCAAGAATCCTTATTATTCAACTGAAGAGATGGTTGGCAAACGTATTGCTGTAAGATATGCAGGAAGAGTTGTGCCAACTTTTGTTATGGTGAATAGATTATAGAAGTCTACCGAGACACCACGATGCTTCACAAGAGTCGATATGCGCAGGGAAATGAGACATAGTGAAAGGACAAGGCCGTTGCTTGGATATCATAACATATCTATCGTATCGTATGTGTTTCCGTCATATCGTTCTTCGCTCGCTGTCGTCCATACAAAATACCTCATCAAGCAGATAAATCATGACCAAATATCCCAACAACTCCAACTCATAGAGAATCCCAAATCATAAAACATCGTATCTCCAAAATAATAAGACCCATCCCGGAATAGACTTATACAAAGTCATCCAAACGTGCCAGAGCTTCCTTCACCGCCTGTGAATATACTCCCGCTCCCTCCTGCGGTCCGAGATGGTGACTCTCATCCTCTCCTCCTCAGGCGGCGGGGGCGGCGGCGGCAGCATGCGCGGCGGCGAGTACCGCCTCCCCTCGACGTACCTGAATGTCTCGTAGCGTGGCTCGACGGGGACGGGGACGGGGTACGGCACGCGCACGGGGACGAGCTTCTCGCGCTCGACGTATACCTCCCTGACGTCCCTCTCGCGGTCGCGGCTGCCGTGGCGCGAGTGGCTGCAGCTGCGGCTGCGGCTGCTGCGCGAGGACTTGCTGCTCTTGCTGCTCTTGACGCTCGGCTCCACGTCGACGGCGATGACCTCGATGGGCGCGGGCTCAGGCGGCAGGACGATGGGGGGCGGTGGTGGAGGAGGAGGAGGGAGCGCAATGACGGGCGGAGGCGGAGGAGGGAGAGGCTCGACGACGGGAGGAGGAGGGGGCGTGCAGGGCCTGACGATGACCGGCGGCGGGGTCGGCTCGCGGGCGGGAATGAAGGTCGTCTTCTTTGTGCGGACGGTGACGGCGCCGTTGGTGGGGGGTTCGAGATAGAGACGCTTCTTTGCGCCGTGGTGGGAGTGGTGGCGGTGGTGGTGGTGGTATTCGTAGTATTCTCGTGAGGATGCTGCTTTGGTGGTTAGCTTTTTTGCTTCTGAGGTGACGTCAGGGAGTTACACGTACCCATTTTGGAACGGCTGTGCAGAGAGGGAACTCTTGAGGAGGAAAAGTCTGAGTGCGCCGGTGTGGCCTACACTAAAGTGCGACGTTGCCCGATACCGACGGTGTGGTTTTCACAACGGGGGACCGTCTGTTTTGGGTTGCGGGCAGGCGCAGGTCGCAGGCGGATTCTGCTGCAACACCCCCGGATATGGGATGATGTGAAGGAATAAAAAAGAGACGATCGAGTTTGTTTGGCGGGACAGAAGTGAAGATCAGCTTCTGAATCAGAAAAGAGAGGCGGGAAGGCTGGGTTTGGAGTGCGTGGCGATGGAGCTGCACTAAATAAGGTCGGGGGCAGAGAGGGGGGATGAATGGTGGGCGGGAGATGCGCTATCCCATTATATAACTACGTACCGCTGGGCGCAAGAGAGCCAGCTGCTGCCAGGGAAAGACACAGAAAAAAGGCTTGGAAAAGCGAACTTGTCCAGGCAAGGCCGGACGGGAAATGTCACCGTCGCTGACGGCTGTCACTGGTTGGGTTGGGCGGCGGGGGGTGTCACCCACACCACCCACCTCGCATAGCCGGATAGTACAAGTACCTTGCGCTTCCTCGTTTGCAGTACATAGTACAGTAGCCACAAACACCAAGGAGATGATGGTGTGTCAGCCCGAGAGAAAGCCCAGTCTGGAAGGGAGACCCAGGCCAGGCTGGGTCGACGTGCAGCTGCCGTGTCGAGAGAGAGAAGACGGGAAGTGGTGCATCGCCATGGCCGTGTCCCCCGCCCCCTGGAGGCTCAGCAGCAGCAGCAGCAGCAGCGGGAAGCCCGACCGAGACGAGACGCACGAGAGAGGAGACCGAATGGAGCACACAGCCGCTTTGGACGGAGCTGAACATGCTTAGTATCTTTTCCGCAATACTCTATTCGCGCGCAAAGTGGGATATCTCTAGAGAGCAAGCAAATGAACAAACAATGACACTGGCCAACAAATTACAATTAGGAGGTGCCATGCAGAACCGCAAACCTGTCCAACAAAAACCAGGACCATCCCCCCTCCATCTTCCCACATGAACAAGACCCTTCCCTCCTTCCAGACCGTCCTTCCACCATCTTCTTTCCCTTCGCGTGAGGGACAGGGGCGCGCGATTGGGCAATTAGGGCCTTATGACGCCAGTAGGCACGTCACGCCAAAATCAAGATTCCGGGAGGGTCCTCGTGCGCTCTCCTGCTGGAGAGAGGGGTGCTTGGCCCGGGCTGCCACCTCTCTCTTTTTTGGGTTCTCCGGCTGACATCCCCCGGCGGTCTCGACCGTCTTCATTCGCTCCGCGCACCTCGGGTCCTCTCTCTCGATGCACTGCGCTATGTGTGTGTGCGAGTCCTGCGTCCTGTCCTGCGTGCTGCCCGTCACCGCCGATTGTCGACGGCGCGGGATGGGAGAAAATCAGGGTTGTTGATGTGCCGCCGCGCGGGATTGCTCGCAGCTAGCCCGCTGCGCACCGCCTTTTCCCACGAGATGCGATTGCTCTGCGCCGCGCCTTTCGTCCACTTGCGCAGCCAACTCGGGGTACCCCTGATCGCGGGGTTGCAGGGCTGAGCTTGTTGGATTGGGTGCGCTGGCAGCTCCATCTTCTGTCCAAACCATCTCCGCCGCGCCGCCGCCATCTTTTTTGGGTCCGGGGCCAGAAGACATCGTTGGGCCGCAGGCCGAGAAGAGAGAGATCAATTCTTCCCCGAGCCGCTGCGCGGCCTCTTGGGCCCCGACTCTTAGGAGCTGGCCTCATTCTCGTTGGGCGCCGTCCTCGATGCCAAGGCCGCGAACTGTACGATCCCATCTATCGATCGTCTCTGGCTGCATGCTTGACTGATTCGAGATCCGGCCGCCTCTTTGCAGCCCAACCTCTGCATAGCCGCTTTCTTTTTCTTCCTCTTCCCAGATCAAGCCTAGATCCATCCATTAGGACCCTTGACCCCGGGATCTATCCGGCTCGGGTGCCCCCGAACTTCCTTGATACGATCCAAGGCAGTAGCCCATCGTGCGACCAGGGCCCTCAAACCGCCCTCATCCTCTCGCGCTGCTGCCGCCGTGACGCACCATCTGACCGAACCAGCTTCACCGTCCGCCTCATGAAGTTCTGTTTGGCTGACGGCGGTCGAGCGTACACAGCCGCCCTCGCAGCGGGAAGCTCACGCACCTCCATCGCGTCATGGTGATTTGACTTCTCTGAGATGCCAGCGTGCGCAGAGAATCCGGATCCGAAATTGTCCTCGCGGCGAAACTTATTTGCCATCCAGTTGAACAGATGCCCTAGCTCTCCCATCCACCACAGACCGAGCACGATGACCAGGATGGTGACTGGTATCGCAGAGGCCCAGTAGAGCCACTGACCGGCCTCCATGTCACGGATGTCGCTCGTGTTCATCCCGAAGATGCTCGACACCGCGCTCAGGGGAAGAAAGATGATTGTGACAATGGTGAAAGCGTAAATGGCCTGCTCTTGCCGGTCCTTCGTCACCGCTGCGTTGTTCAGATTCTAGCCACTCGTCAGCAAAGTCATCTCATGCCGAAAGTCAAGTTTGTTGGGCTTACCGTCTGCTCCAGGACATCAGCCTGCTCAGCATATTCATCAAAGTCTCTTGCCCGACGCTCCAACAGTTGCGTGCACTCTGCGGCGAGGAGATCCCTGAAGCCAGCAGCATCCGTGGACGGAAGCTTGTAAAAGTCCGACACCTCAGCGATGGATGCCAGAAGAACGTCCGCCTCGCCATCCTCGGCGTATCTGTTCCTCGCCATGCGCAGGTGATTCCGCAAGGACGCACCCTCCCGTCTGTTCGCCTCACTGTACTGGACCGCGTTCAGACGGCGGTGCTTTGGTGTTGTGGATGAACCTTCGTCCCGAAATGCCAGAATAGAGTTGAAAATGCTGTTTTGCGCAGCTATCGTGCGGTTGATCACGGTGACTTCCTGACGCAAAAAGTTGATTCGCTGTTGATAAGTCATGTCTGACGCCCCGTTCGCAACTTCGTTCTCCTGCCAGGTTAGAAAAGTGTTAGCACGTGAAACGGCGGTGTTCAACCCAAATTAGACTTACCAAAGCTCTGAGATACTCAGAGTATGTGTCGCTGATACCAGCATACTTTTCAGACGTGTTGGAGAGGAGTCCGTATCCGATCAGGGATACGACCTCTAGCGGGAGGACGGAAGAGCGTTCCAAGAGCTTAAGATTTGACAGGCGTTCCATGATGTGCTTCATGCCGCTCTTCACCAAAGAGTCGGCCACGTCCAGATGGTCCTCCCACATGTGTGTCCCATGACTGGCGTAGATCAGACCCATGACCAGATGAAGCCAAGCACGGATCAGGTCAATAGGCACATCGATCTCCAGGCGGTCGGTAGGTTCAGCGTGAGACAGGATGCTCTTGAAAGCCATGACAGGTAGGGCGATTTGTCGCAAAGCTTTTCTTATCGTTGGGGCGTTGGCGAAGATGGCGTCGCGTCGTCTCTTGTCGAGCCCGTGAGGATGAGGTTCACTATCTGCCGAGTCGGATACGGGCACCTAAAGGTCGTTTAGCGACATGTTGAGTTTGCTGGAAAGTTTGGACGGAAACTCACCCAGACGAGGTTCATCACAGCCCCCCAAAACCGCTCAGTTGTCGGCCCGTCAAACAGCGGAGGCAGAAAAAATCTGAAGAGAGTGTCGGCTGCGTTGAAGATGTCAACGCGGTCTTCGTAGTCCTGCTTCTTCCAAGGTTTATTTTTCAACTCCTGGATGGCGGCCCCCTGCTGCTCAAGGTAGGCGTAGACCTGGTCTCGACCAGACGCCTCGGAATCCAAGTAAGCTCGCCGATCCGGCCCATTTGTCTCGGCTGTCAGGAAATCCTCTACTTCGGAAAGCTGCTTTTGTAGGACAATAAAGTTGGGGCCTTCGACCGGGCTTGAGGTATGTGCGTCGGCCCAGCTGAAGACGTGAAACCTCTCGTTTGCTTTTCCATGTCCCGGCGGATAGCTCAACCGTTTTCCGGGTGAAAGGGGAGCCGGCTGAAGGCTGGCGCCGGGCTGGGACCGAATGTTGCCCACTGATTGTCCGATGGGTCGGAGGATGCCGCTCGGCGGAAGTTGAGGTGGCGCACTGTTTCCCGTTAGCTACTTCCGGCAAGCTACGGAGCTGATATACCGACCAGGTTTCCATCGTAACAACGACATTTCTCCGTGATGTGCTGGCAAACTGCAAAACCTTCCACCAACGTGCTTCGCTCAGCTGACGGCCGTTGAAGTGGAAGCGTACTGCCTTGGGCCAAAAGTCGGCGAAGTGGGCGATGAACGCGAACCAGGTCTGACACTCCTCGAGTGGAAAAGACCACAAGACCGATTCCCCGTGTTGAACGAGGATCCGCCCAGACTCTGCGCTGTGAGAAAGATCTTTCGCCGGCTCTGATATCACGCTGACACTGTCGCCTCGCAGGGCCGCCTCGGACATCGAACCGCAGGTGATGAGAAGGGAGTTGTCGAGAACGATGCACCAAAGCTGGCGAATGTGAAAGCAGGAACTCTTGTCGCCGTTCCCGATTTGCCGCGTAGCTTGTTGCATATCGCGCTTCTGAGAATTTCGAGAGAACGATGCTTGCAACAGAGTCTGGGGCGGGTAAGCCCCTGGGTTCCCAGTGGCCAGAATTCCAGAGTAGTCCTCGAGAGAGAAGTAGGGCACACAGAGCCATGTCACTGCTCGCTTACCGGGAGTGGACCCCTTCTCATGTTCCCCTTTTTGTAGAGGAAGTTGGAGATAGCTCGGCTCCATGTGCTTTACCGTGGTTTGCCGGCTGGTTCTGACTGTCTTGGAGTAGTTCTTCCTCACATCGGAGAGAAGCTTCCGGATGTCGTTTTGCTCGTTCTCCGAGAGTGATCGCGAGATTTCATTCTGGGAATGGTCAGCCCCAGAGCCTTCTGAAAACTGCGTAGCAGAGACTCACCGTGAATTCATCAAAGTTCATCATGTCTTGTTGTACATGCCTGGTGAGTGTTAGGGATGAATGAACAACGTTTGTCGGAGAACTTACAGCCACCTGAAGAGAGCCTGCCTCCTCCTCCTCGCATCATGGACAACCTCCAAAGCCGCTGAGTGCAAGCCCCCAAGGACACCTTCGCCGGTGTATTTTGACTGGTACACATAAAAAGCCTCGCTGAGCGGCGGCTCTTCTCCCCTCAGCGTAGAATCGTCAGAAAACGGCGTCTCCAGATCAGACCCGTCGTCGTCTTTTGAGTGATCGCCAGACGGACGAGCGGGGTCAAAGGCGTAAACCTTCCCCGTCGTCTCCTCCACATCAACCCAGTCCTCCGTCTCCTGGATAGGAGTCAGATACTCCATATCCGTGAACTCAGGCGGCATCGGGAAACCGTCCAGATCGACAGAGTGTTCGTCTCCCGTAGCGTCCGTGTAGACAGAGATGGGCGATGGCTCCTTGGACGGGCCCGGAGGCATCTCTTCTTCCTCTTCTGGCACTGCGGATGGGAATGCAGGAGTCTGCTGCCGTGAAATGGGTGCTGCCATGGGCGTCTTTGACCGACGTCTCGGTGTGATGGCGTCCATAGGCGAGGCGAAGCGGACCATGGGCTGTAGTAGTGACCGGGTCGATCGCCGGCGGGCTGGGGTGGTGGCATGCGGCGGTGGCGTCGGCGGCACGGGGATGTAGATGTCATCTTGCTTCCGAAAGTCCTCCATCATCTGGGCCAGGTTCACCCCCCTGTACTGGCTTCTGAGACTTTGTGCTGAAGTTCGCGGTGGGAACAGGGAATGGCCTCGACGACGAGGTTCCCTCTGCGATTCATACATATTGCTGGCCGATTCGTACTGTGTCGTACTGTGTCTCGATCGCTCTATTTCGTGTGTGAAACACAGTGTAAAGTCTCGGCGATGGTGTGTAAGTGGCTACCGAAGCCCTTAGACTCGCCAGATATTCGTCGTCTTTTCTTCAAGTGGTAAGTGGTATCAATAGTTTCAATGACCAAACGTCTCAAACCTCCCAAAAAGGGTCGTCTCAGAACGTGTCTGCAACACTTAAGTAAGAAAATGCCTGCAATAGCGGTATCGCGTCAAATGTCACCCAGCCGACGCTTGTTTCTTGGCCAGCCACCCGCGTGGTCGCAATCAGGTGGCAGGGCCGCCGCTAACACGAGGCCCAGTGGGCATGTGCGCTACCCGTGCGCTGTCGCTCCAGGCACGCAGAACCGCTAGCGCCGCCGTAGGCAACCTCCCTCCCCGCCATCTCCAGCGCTTGTCGCGGGGAGTTCCCAGCAGCCGTTGGGTGTTTCTGCGCCGAGCCCAGCCACTGACGTCCTAAGACAGTGGTTCCTGGGGCTCATGCTACTGGGATGTACCTGCATTTGAGATGGACGACATCCCGCTTTAGTCGGCTTCGACATGGTTCACGGAGGCTCACGATAGCTGCTAGTCTTTGACGAAAAGGCGGGTAGCGTATGTTCGGATCTCTTTTCGTTGCCGTCCCGGCCGAATGTCTACACAAAACAAGTGGTTGTCCGTCCTCCTGAACTCCCAAGTCAACCCACGGATATCTACCATTCCTGAACTCCAACCCAAGTGGTATCTCGTTCCGTTCCAGAAAAAGAAAGAAGACTAAAGAAAAAACAGACGATGAGCGTCCCAAGAGTCCTCGTCTGTCCATGTCCACGTATCGGTACGAAAAGGGCCAATAAGGGACTTTGTCGGCTGAGCAACCCAAGCCCATCCGTCTAGTGCAAAGGAACAACGAACCACCTCGAAGGATCTTAGCCAGCCATTCGGTACCAGAATTTACAATGTTCGTAAGGCTGGCCGGCCAAGTATCTACCATCATCTGAGCGTCCATCCCTATTGCTGGGATCAAAATCGTCGCACTGCTGCAGGTACGCATCCGCCGGTCGTAGGTAAACAAGGTAAAGCAAGTTAGAAAGCCGCCGTAAGTTCTGTTCTCAGACTAGTCCATCTGTTAGAGAAATCGAGCCAGTGATTTCTTAGCCATTGCAAAGTCGAAGCCAATATCCACAATGAGAATGCATGCGGAAGGGGTTAGTGACACACGGAAGGGGTTGCTGAAAGCGATGGCAAGTGCGAAGTATTCGTGCGAAGTATCCGAATGTCGAAGCTCGTCACCAACAGTGAGGTGCAAACAGCAAGAAATCCAGGCTGAGAAGCGACTGGCCAACAACGTGCCTTGTCTTCAAAAGTTCGGGATATGAGCGTCTCTCATCTTCTTCGCCATCTCATCGATGGATGCGATGTAGTAAGACGGAGCAGCAGTCGAGGGACCAGGAATACCGAGTTGCTGTTGCTGCTGCTGCTGCCGGATCTGGGGCAGATGAACGTCGGTGTAGAACTCCTCCTCCTCGAGCCAGTTGCCGTCGCGGTCGAAGATCTGGGCGTACTCGTCGAGAAGACCCTGAGAGTACCAGAGCTTCATGTCCTCGCGCCAGGGGAAGTTGAGGTCGCTCCAGAACCGGGTGATCGGGTCCTTGAAGGCGGGCTGGCGGCGCCAGAAGGGCAAGACGATCACGACCAGCTTCGCGAGCCAGAGCTTCATCTTGCGAATCTCCTCGGGCTTCGCCTTCTTCTCCTCGTAGATGCAAATCATCGCCATGCGAATGGGCATCTCGAAGCTCTCCATCAGGCCCGGCTGCGTAAACTGGTAGTGGTAGAAGCGGCCGGAGAGAAGGGGGCCGTAGTACTCGACGGCCTCCTTGACGTTGTCGAGGAAGTACTTGCAGCCGCTGGCGATGTCGAGCTTGACGCAAGTGCGGTAGTTCATGGCGTTGAAAAGAACGAAGCGCGCATCCCACTTCTTCTGGCCTCGGTCGACCTTCATGCCTACCAGAACTGGAGAAATTGTCAGAAATCCGCATCATACTGGAGCTCGCAGGCGTTTTCTTACATCCGTTGTAGAGAAAGACGATGATAGGGCCAACCTGCTTGACGTCATACTCGTCCATCTTCAGGAACGTATTGCCATTCTGTTCAAGAACACGATTAGGATGCAGTTATTGTGAAGTCAAGCGCATGCCTTACCGCGTCAGCAGGGGGAAGGTGCTCGGCAAACCAGGTCGAGTCCGTGACCAGAATATCGCGGTGAGCCAGGGCGTTCATACTACCCTTCTTGAAGGCAAGGGTGACATCCCATCCGTGCTTGGCACCAAAGAGCCTGCGAAGACGAAAGTCAGCAGGCGATTAGTTTTCACTTTGTTGAGTCACTCACTCGCGGCGGCGGTCTCTCTCGCGCGCAGCCAGCACCGCCTTGGCAAGAGCCTTCTCCTTCTCGACTTCCCTCTTCTCGGCCTCGGCGGCGGCAGCAGCAGCAGCGGCTCCATCGTCTTCCTCCTCGATAGCCACAGCAGAGTCCTCGTCCTCCGACTCAGAGTCCTCGAATGAAACGGCGACGCCCTTGCCCTTGTCCAGCTTGACTTTCTCCTTCCGGGTCAACTTCTTCTTTTCGGCGAACAATTCGACGGACGCCGCGGGGCGGCCGCCGCTGCCGATGGGAGTGTCGATGGCTTCGCGGGCCGCCTTTCTGGCCTTGGCCTGGACCTTCTTCTTGGCCACGCGCTTCGAGTTCTTCTTCTTCTGAGCCATCTCACTGTTGTTGCTGTGGTCGCTGTGGTCGCTGTCGCTATCGTCACTGCTATTATCTTCACTGTCGCCGTTCTCGCTGTCGTCGTCTCTGCTATCTTCGACGGCGGTAGTGATGTCGGTGTTTTTGTAGGATCCAGAACAAGTCTTGGTCAGAGTGAGAGGAGGAAAATCCACAACACTGGCAATGTCAGGTGAGAGAATCTCCGGGTTTGTACCAGAAGCTGATTGAATTTTAGAGCTAGGCTCCAAGTTCGCCGAGCTGCCTTGGCCTTCCCGACTGAGCTTCTCCTGGTCGAGGACAGCAGAATGAAGTGCTGCCAGAGATGCAGCAGGGGTGAGGCTTTCCGCGGACAAGGGCGGAAAATTCTCTGCTTCAATGGTGATATCCTGCCTCAGAGGGCTAGGCTTCATGCCCTTTGGGCAGGCGACATGAGCCCAGGAGTGCATCTTCGAAAGATTGTGAGGGTACGCGATCGGTAAGCAGCTGGGACTTATACAAACCCAAAGGAACTTGAAAGACGATGGCACGCAACAAACCCAATGCCGAATGGGTCTGTGGAAAAGATGAGATATGCGTGAGTGAGTGAGTGGGTTGGTTGTGTCTAAGAAGACTCGGGTGCAGTGCAGCAAACTAACAAATCTCAAAAGAAAACTGCTTGTATGAAGATTAATTCTGTGTGAAAATTCTGAGGCAGGTGAGAATTCCAGGTCGGCAGGTAGTTGGTGTGCTGTGGTAAGTGATCCTTCCCCTTCTGTTCTTTCAGCCTCACCTTCGCCTTTCCCAGTGCCTTGCCCGGTGACTAGGGGAAGGAGTCTACGTGTATTCTAAGTCTACCTAGTACTCCGAGGAAGCAGAGATTCTCTCTGATGAGAGATCATATTATTGCAACTCGATCTGGGGAAGGGCCCTTCACTCAGTCATTTTGGTATTTCCCCCCCTGAAGCCTTGAACGAAATATGAGCCCTTAAGCAAACCTCATGAATCTGGCTTGGGCTTCTTTAAGAAAAGTGATCCCTTCAGCGACTCGGTAAGTTCCTCAATGTGAGTGGTTGAAAACTTTCTAGCTGTAGAAAGCATCAGCAGAGGAAAGAGTGCTCCACTTGGTCACTCCCTATTTCCTTCATTGTGGTAAAGAACCCAAAGCTCAACGCTGGCTGGTTTTGTCCGACACAAACAGACATTGCGATGGCGTATGTTCTTTGTCAGCCCAGCTATGGCGAAGAGACCACTGCCTACCACAGCAAACCGGCAGTATCGTCAAAAGAAATGCATTTACGTCCCCAGCCTCGCTTTGCACTGCAAGGTCGCTTGAAATTGACTTCTGCGCGGCCAAGCTCCCGTGCCGCTGCAAGGGTCATTTTTCAAGACAAAAAAGGCAGAACGTCGCAAGCCGGTGGGCGAACAGCGGCAGGGTTGGGCCAACGTTGCATCAAAATTCTCCGAGTTTGTCAATCCGTTATTCAAGATCGAGGATATCTTTTCTCCTAACGGAAAGGAAACCAGAAAACCAGGCGAAGAAAAAGGGGAAAATCATTCAGGTCAGTGGTCGCAGGTCATCCATCGTCGTTGTCGTCTGTATACTTACATAAGCGGGAACAAGGACAAAGAGCAAAAGACCGGCCGCTCGAAGAAACATCACAATTTCTGGGGCATAGGCGATATAAGGTCAAAACGACCCCGGTCTTCGCTAGTCATGTCCATCCATACCTCGCTCTCGCTATTTCCCGTTCAGACCATCGATCGGACCCACTCCCGAGCCGATCCTCGTGGATTGGACAGCCGTCATCAGAGTTGACCGGCGCCCTTGCGGGGCGGACGGCAGAGGTTCCATCGGAGGGGCACACTTGGTGAGCGCTTGGCGCTTGCACTTACAGGGCATCATACCTACCAAACCTGAGAGGCACAACGTGCTACGTTGATGAAAACCCGTTAATCTTTCCGACTGGATTGGACCTTGAGAAAACCAGCCAAGACAGACAATGTCAAGGCCTTTGATGCTCGGGAAAGTATCACCGCACAACGAGACAAACCTCGGGAGTTGCACGGAGAACCGGAGTCCGCCATCATCTTCCCAAACAGACGGCGCCCCGGTATGCCCCTTTACACGGGCCTTGGAGACCAACCGATTTGCGGTGGTGAGGTTGCCATCTCCACTGTCCCCCGTTTAAACTCGGACTCATGATCCGGCCCGAGAAACGTTGACACCTCTCCG